GAAATACAGTTTGATTTTGTTGTTATTTTAGGTGTAATCGCAGCTCCTTTAATGTGTGTGTGTTTTTTTCTTTCATTTTTTTTGAAAACTCATATAGTGATAGTGATACACATATTATTATTTATAACCGTGTTGTGCCAGACCTGGAGCAGGATCAGGGCAGACTGTGCTGCTGTTAGAGGTGATCTGGAGAGAAGCAGAATAAACAGAGAGTAAACAGAGCACTGAAAAGCATTGTTGTTGTGTTTTATTTAAAGATTAAAGATAAGCAAACTAAATATTAGCTTTGCTTTAGCGTTAGCTGCAGTTAGCTGTCTGCAGTACACGGCTCTTATCTGCGCTGCACAGAGCTGATATTAGGAATGAGAGAATAATGAAATGGCAGTGTGAGGAATGTGCGGGATGTTTATGCCGGTGCCCACGCTGCGGGTACACCGACGCCGGGCCGAGCGATAAGTCTAATCTCAGCCAATCAGAGCGATCAGAGGGTCTCGGGCGGACGAGGAACAGAGGGAGGCATTACTGAAGCCGAGGCAGAGGAAAGGACAAACATCCTGTGCTGAGAGGAGGATGTTTACTGCCCATAGAGCCGCACTCTGGAGAAACACACCCAAACACAATAGAGCCGCGACCCGAACCCAAACACGCTGTGTGCGGTTCTGAGAGTAACAGTACTTAATTACAGTATTAAATACTGCAGCAGCCTGGTGTTTATAACAGTGCTCAGATGTTTGTGCACACTTTCAAAGCAGTGGTATCAACGCAGAGTACTAATGAAGTACAAATACTTTGTTACATTACTTAAGTAGAAATGTAGGTTATCTATACTTTACTGGAGTATCTATACTCCTAATATTTTAAAAACAACCTCGTTACTCCTATTTCATTTCAGCTGGTTTTTATATTCTGGCTTCGCGTCTTTCATAAAAACCTCTATCCAGATAAATAAGCTCCTTCAATATATAAATATATTTGTAGATACTCTCGGCTGTAGATACTCTCGGCTATAGATACTCTCGGCTGTAAATATGCTCTGCTGTAGGGACACTCGGCTGTAGATACTCTCGGCTGTAGATACTCTCGGCCGTAGACACTCTCGGTTGTAGATACTCTCGGCCATAGATACTCTCGGCCATAGATACTTTCGGCTGTTGATACTCTCATCTGTAGATACTCTCAGCTGTAGACACTCTCGGTTGTAGATACTCTCGGCCATAGATACTCTCGGCCATAGATACTTTCGGCTGTTGATACTCTCATCTGTAGATACTCTCAGCTGTAGATACTCTCGGCTGTAGATACTCCCGGCTGTAGATACTCCCGGCTGTAGATATTCTCGGCTGTAGGGACACTCGGCTGTAGATACTCTCGGCTGTAGATACTCTCGGCTGTAGATACTCCCGGCTGTAGATACTCCCGGCTGTAGATACTCCCGGCTGTAGATACTCTCGGCTGTAGGGACGCTTGGCTGTAGATACTCTCGGCTGTAGATACTCTCGGCTGTAGATACTCTCGGCTGTAGATACTCCCGGCTGTAGATACTCCCGGCTGTAGATACTCTCGGCTGTAGGGACGCTTGGCTGTAGATACTCTCGGCTGTAGATACTCTCGGCTGTAGGGACGCTTGGCTGTAGATACTCTCGGCTGTAGATACTCTCGGCTGTAGATACTCTCGGCTGTAGATACTCTCGGCTGTAGGGACGCTTGGCTGTGGACACAAGGACGTCCCATGTCTTCCTCTTTAGCGAGGGCTTCCGAATACTGACTTGCTGTTGAAACAGTATGAATTATTAATGCTCTGCGTCTCTCAGTCGTCCCTGAGGAAATCTCAGCAGTTATAAACTGGGCTGCAGAGAGACGCTGGAGACGTCCTACACAAACTGATCTAACCGTTACCGTGACGGCTGACTGCTCCTGTTTACAGGACCATCCTGCAGAGACAACCGGACTCAGCAGGACCAGGACATCGACCCACACAGACCCACTGCTGCTGATAAACCCAGATTATTTTACTGTAATCTGAAACTCAAACAACCTAAATCCAGTTACTGGGATTTAATCACCAGTAAAATTAATTCTCATTAATAAATTGCATGTTTTGTATTCTGCTGATGAGACTCAATAAATCAAAGAGACATTTTTATTTAATCGAGCTGCTGCACAGCCGAGACATTAGCATGAAACATCCATCAACTCTGAGGAACTAGAATTAGATACAGTTTAGAACTCTGAAGAATTCTGTAGTGTTGTGTAGAAATATGCAGAGCTCTGTAGAACTGTTTATAACTCTGTAAAACTAGTATTGTTTATTACTCTGTAGTATTGTGTAGAACTCTGTAGAACCAGGTAGAACTGTGCAGAATTGTGTATAACTGCAGCTGATCTGTCCTGCTTGTTTTCTATTAGTCAGAATGTAATAATATTTCTCAGAGCTGGTTCTGCTCCCCTGGGGAGGGTTGTGTTGTGTTGTGTTGAGTTGAGTTGAGTTGAGTTGAGTTGAGTTGAGTTGAGTTGAGATGAGCTGTGTTGAGTTGAGTTGTGTTGTGTTGTGTTGTATTGAGTTGTGTTGAGTTGAATTGAGTTGAGTTGAGCTGTGTTGTGTTGTGTTGAGTTGAGTTGAGTTGTGTTGTGTTGAGTTGAGCTGTGTTGTGTTGCGTTGAGCTGTGTTGAGTTGTGTTGTGTTGAGTTGAGTTGAGTTGAGTTGAGTTGAGTTGAGCTGTGTTGTGTTGAGTTGAGTTGAGTTGAGTTGAGCTGTGTTGTGTTGTGTTGTGTTGAGTTGAGTTGAGTTGTGTTGTGTTGAGTTGAGCTGTGTTGTGTTGCGTTGAGCTGTGTTGAGTTGTGTTGTGTTGTGTTGAGTTGAGTTGAGTTGAGCTGTGTTGTGTTGAGTTGAGTTGAGCTGTGTTGTGTTGTGTTGAGTTGAGTTGAGTTGTGTTGTGTTGTGTTGAGTTGAGCTGTGTTGTGTTGTGTTGAGTTCAGTTGAGGTTAGTTGAGTTCAGTTGAGTTGTGTTGTGTTGAGTTAAGCTGTGTTGTGTTGAGTTGACCTGTGTTGTGTTGTGTTGTGTTGAGTTGAGCTGTGTTATGTTGTGTTGAGTTGAGCTGTGTTGAGTTGAGTTGTGTTGAGTTGAGTTGAGCTGTGTTGTGTTGAGTTGAGTTGAGCTGAGCTGTGTTATGTTGTGTTGAGTTGAGCTGTGTTGTGTTGAGTTGAGCTGTGTTGAGTTGAGTTGTGTTGAGTTGAGTTCAGCTGTGTTGTGTTGTGTTGAGTTGAGCTGTGTTGAGTTGAGTTGTGTTGAGTTGAGTTGAGCTGTGTTGTGTTGTGTTGTGTTGAGTTGAGTTGAGCTGTGTTGTGTTGTGTTGAGTTCAGTTGAGGTTAGTTGAGTTCAGTTGAGTTGTGTTGTGTTGAGTTAAGCTGTGTTGTGTTGAGTTGACCTGTGTTGTGTTGTGTTGTGTTGTGTTGAGTTGAGTTGAGTTGAGTTGAGCTGTGTTATGTTGTGTTGAGTTGAGCTGTGTTGTGTTGTGTTGAGTTGAGTTCAGTTGAGGTTAGTTGAGTTGAGTTGAGTTGAGAGTTGCGCTGAGCTGAGCAGAACCCGGCGCTGGTTTATCGCTGAGCGATCACTGCAGAACATCCTGATAAATCACTGCTGTTTTATTACAGATCAGACGTCTGATTTATAGGAGAATCTGATCTCAGAACTTCTGATTCTGTTACTGCAGTGATATTTACTGAGATAGAAATTAATTTAATATTCTGTACAGAGTCGGGTGGTCTGGTGTTGGACGGGTCGGTCAGAGTGTGGAACTGATGGGGTTAAACTCTTAGTTTGTTGTTTGCTGCTCTGCTGTATGAAGCTGTTAGCGTGGGGCGCTAACGTTACATATTATATTAATGCTGCTCGGTGGAACAGTGCAGGCAGGAATGAGGCATGCTGGGTAATGTGAGCTGAAGTGTACGCCTGGCCTGTCCCGAGTATTAATGCACTGTGATGGGCGAGCTGCAGCCAGAACAGGGGGAAGTGTAGCGTCAGAAGTGTGTGTTGGGTAACAGTGTATGTGGGGTAGTATTTTGGGAAGAGTGTGTATTGGGAGTTGAGCAGTGTATGTGGAGCAGTGTGTGTTTGGGAGCAGTGTGTGTTGGGTAACAGTGTATGTGGGGTAGTATTTTGGGAAGAGTGTGTATTGGGAGTTGGGCAGTGTATGTGGAGCAGTGTGTGTTTGGGAGCAGTGTGTGTTTGGGAGCAGTGTGTGTTTGGGAGCAGTGTGTGTTGGGGTTGAGCAGTGTGTGTTGGGCAACAGTGTGTTTTTGGGAGCAGTGTGTTGGGGGCAGTGTGTGTTGGGGGCAGTGTGTGTTGGGGCAGTGTGTGTTGGGTAGCAGTGTGTGTTGGGTAGCAGTGTGTGTTTGGTGTGTGTTGGGGGATTGGGCAGTGTGTGTTGGGTAGCAGTGTGTGTTGGGGGATTGGGCAGTGTGTGTTGGGTAGCAGGGTGTGTTCAGTGTGTGTTGGGGGGTTGGGCTGAGAACAGTGTGAGGTAATTTATTGGTGTTCTTTGTTTCCTCAGATCTATAGGCGGAGATGCTGGAGAAGAAGATTGATTGGTTCTGGACGCTTCCTCTGTTACTGCTGTCGGCCATGACACAGGTACCACGACCTTCATTCACTATTCCTACTGTAGCTGTTTCTCCATCAGCAGCCTGAGTCTGAGAGAGAGAGTACAGTAAGTCATGCTGCTTCTCCATCAGGAGATGGATTCAAATCCTGTTCATGCAGCTTGCCATCAGCTGCCAGAGTCCTGAGAGAGCACAGTTGTCCTTGCTGTTTCTCTCTGGGTGGGTACAGTACAGTAGATGGTGCTCTCTCTTTCCCTTCATCTCTCCTAGGGTGATGTGGATCAACACAAGGCTGCGTCTGTGAGCTGATGTATCAGAACCGAGTTGCTGCGCTTTCCTCCGAGCGTTAGCGCTGTGATGCTACTGATGTGTGTATAATGTGTGTGTGTGTGTGTAGGTGATGGCAAGTCCTGAGGTAAACGACAGTCAGCAGCAGGCTCCTCAGAACGTGTATCACGATATCGGCGTCACCAGGAATAAGATCGTGACGGCGCAGTTCGAGTGCTATCAGAAGATAATGAAGGATAATTACCTGCTGAAGAAAGGTAATGATTAATACAGAGATCTGACATTACCCTCCTGTTACCCTGCTGTTACCCTACTGTTACCCTCCTGTTACCCTGCTGTTACCCTGCTGTTACCCTCCTGTTACCTTGCTGTTACCCTGCTGTTACCCTCCTGTTACCCTGCTGTTACCCTCCTGTTACCTTGCTGTTACCCTGCTGTTACCCTCCTGTTACCCTGCTGTTACCCTCCTGTTACCCTGCTGTTACCCTCCTGTTACCTTGCTGTTACCCTGCTGTTACCCTGCTGTTACCCTCCTGTTACCCTGCTGTTACCCTCCTGTTACCCTCCGGTTACCCTCCTGTTACCCTGAACTAAAATCAGTCTGGATTTTATTTTAGTTTTTACTTTTACCTTAAAAAGTTGTAGAAAATTTTCCTTAACAATCTTAACTATTGATGTAATAACAGTGTAACTACTGTTGAATTGTTACAGATTAATTATAGTTGTACAGGTTATAGATTTACACATATTTATAAAGGTCTATTAAACATATCAGAATATTTTCTCCATCTACCTATAATAAAATCAGAGTATTTCCATTATAATTACAAACCACACCAACGCTTTAGGAGAAATATAAATATATACCAAAATTATTCTACACACACAATTACATGTGAAAATTCACATGTGTAATTACATAATCTGTACACCTGTAATTAATCTGTAAACCAGTAGTTACACTGTTATTACATGGATTGTTAACGATTGTTAATGTGTAATTACACAGTTATTAGAGACACTTATCATAAAGTGGGTCCAAAAACACTCCATATGTTGATGATAGTGATTTCCTTAAAAGCTGTTTTATTTGTATTTTGTATTTATTTTGCTATTTACTGTATT